GCCTTTGAATGGAACCATCTGCGCGCCTACAGATAAGCACATCGAAGAAAGCTAGTGTGTCGTCCTTCTCATGCTCAATCGTAAATGTAATCTTTGCATGTGCCTCGTTCATAGCTTTAAGAAGCAGTTCTCCCTCCTTAGGATGTTCGACTATGACAAAAATTTCAACCACGTATCGTCTATAAAAAGCAGTCTTTTCTATGTGTTTGGCCAGTTTTCGTTCAAGAAAATACCTGTGTATATGAATTTGTGGATGGTGTTAATCGTGGATGGTCGTCAGATGACGACTCATTTGATGCTGCGTCTGGCTGTGGCGTTCTGAGTATGTCTGGGTGTGGCTGAAGTACAGTTGGTTCAACTGTGACAGGAGTCTTACCCCAGGCACTTCCATATGAGCTTCCTCCTTTTTATTGAATGCCAATTTACCTCGGGCGCCTACAACCGTAACTACTTCCTGGTTCACATCTAGAACCGCTTCTTTCAGTACCGATTGGACTGACTAACATTGCTAACAGAATTGTCCTTCCTAGAGAGAGAGAGAGAGAGTGGGAGTGATAGCATTTATTTTGAAAAAGCGTTCCAAAATTGTCAGCAGAAACGTTTAGCTTCTAAGCTCCAATCAGTCACCCAGGCCCAGCCGCATGTGATACACCACTTTTGGATTAGAAGTCCACTAACTAACGAGCCAAGGGCTGGTTGTCTTGAATTGTTAAGTAGAGAATAGTGTTTGCGCCAGCTATTGACATGAGAAGTTTCAGCGGTTGCAAACAGGAACTTTGCGAAGAATTACATTTATGGCTGAAGCTCAAGCCTCTGACATGGAACACCCCTGATTGTACCACAAAGCCCCCCCCTCTTAACTTCTCCAGGATGTCCCTCTTCCCAGTGGAGCTGGCATCGACCTTTCAAACAGACACGAACGTCTTTTTGCCCCAGGAACTTTGCGACGACATGCCTGGAAGGTCCTTCACGGTCTATCCCATCCCTGTCGTTTGGGCGACAGTGAAATCCATTACTGACCAATTTTATGTGACTCAACATCAACGGGTATGTGTGGTTTTGGACCGTATCTTCTCTCGCATGACGACGGACCAAAAGTCGTCGACATACCGCATCGCAGGTGGGTAACTTCACCACTCCCGATGCGCGTTTCAGTCACATCCACTTTGACCTGGTAGATCGCCTCTCAAATTCTAACGATTCTGCCTACTTGCTGACTTGTAAGAATCGCTGGCCTGTTGTTGTGCTCACTCCCGACATCAGCGCTGTAACTGTTGCGAAGGCATTTCTGACGCACTGGGTATCCCTTCTCGTGTTCCGGTGACTATTACACCTGATCGTGAATCCAAATTAGTGTCCACGTTATTTCGCTTCCTGCTACCAAGTGAATTCGAACGACGGCCTACCAGCCCCAGGCAAATTGTCTCGTGTAACGTTTCCAGTGAGACCGAGGTCAGAAGTTTCTCTGGCCTTACTTCCTAATATAGAAAGCTCACTAAGTACTCTATCCATATAAACATACCCAAAATCAAGCTCACCCAAAAGGTGAATTGTAGCAGTATTATTGGATTCTTTATATTGCATCTGCATTAAAATATCTTATTATTGCTATTATTAGGTGTGATGACGAGTATGCGTTATCTTAGCATACGTGTTGCTTCTAGCAGCAGTATCCTAAATCTCTTAGTTCTAATATAGTAGTATCTGACAACGCTTTGCTGGTTAGACGTGAGGACGGAAATCAGTGTTTTGATCCGGGTCTCAAACGTGTATTTACTCGGAATAGCATAAGTACGCGTTCACACGCTTAGTTGTGATCGAGGGAACACGAGCGAAATATTATCAGTATCAGTACTACTATTATTCAGCTGAATTTCTACTAGGTAGTAGTTGAAGCAGCAGCAGCTTCCGTCTGGGTATCCAAAAGGCTGTCTTAACATCAGCTGAAGGTGAGTCAATATAGGTGGTGTGGTCATCACCCGATTATCTAAGCCTCGGTTTTCTTTGACGCTGTCCTAACAGACAGTCTTGGCTGCAGAGAGCGCGTGTAGACAGTGTGGTAGACAGTTGCAACGTCTACTTAGACGCCACTTAGAACAAACTCCTGCCTGCATATGATGGACTTCATCGGAATCGATGGTCAAGCTATCATCATCATCATCATCAGCAGCAGCAGCAGCA